TGCTCTGATTATGTGTTTGCATCATTGGCTCAAGTGGCTGGATGAAGGTGCAGACTCTGTTAGGGTAACATCATTTGACTATAAGAAAGCGTTTGACTGACTCGGTATCCCATAACATTATTTGTGAAAAATTGAAAACACTCGAAATTAATCCGTATACTATAAACTGGATTATTAGTTTTCTGGCCAACAGAAAACAAAGAGTTGTTGTTGATGGCATAGAAACTGTTTATGTTGATATCAACAAAGGCGTACCGCAGGGTACGGTTTTGGGTCCCTTTCTATTTTCGTTGATGGTTAATGATATAAAACCCATGGATACGCAAAATAACCTATTGGTTAAATTTGCTGACGATATAACGACAAGTGCTCCAGTAAAATCAGGATCGGATTCTGCTGAGGCTGAGGTGGAAAGCGTTCAGAATTGGTCGGACGCAAATCAAATGACATTAAATCTTTCTAAAACGTGGGAAATGGTTGTGCACGGTGGGTCTATGAAACCGTTACCGGCACCGATTGTAGGCATTGAACGAAAGAGCTGGTTGAAATTATTAGGTGTCACATTTCAGGAAAATCCATGTTGCTGGGATCTTCATATCGATGATCTTCTGACGAAGGCCAGCGGGCGTATGTACATATTGAGAGTGTGTAGATGCTATGGTTACTCTGCAGATCAGCTAAGCAAATTATTCGATTCGCTAATCATGTCACTCTTTTACTATTGCATTGAAGTGTGGGGCTCTGCACTCCAAAAGAAATATTTGGATCGTATAGACAAGTTTTTCCGGCGGGCTTATCGTTATGGATATACGACAAAGAGTATTAAGATATCTGAAGTGATCGAGGAGAGAGACAGAAAATTATTCAGCAAAATCGTATCGAATCCAAAACATGCCCTACATGAATTGCTTCCTGTGTGTAAACAAAGGATCTTAAGACAAAGGGAACATAACTTTATTTTACCTCAAATTAAAACGGAGCGATTTAAACGATCCTTTATAAATAGATGTCTTTTTAACTATTTTTAACTTTTATATAATTAATTAAGATAGATCAAATTTTTTTTAACTGTAACAAATAGGAATTTGACATTTGTAAAGTTGCACGTCTGTTGTGACTCTAGACAATAAAGACTTTAATAATAATAATAATAATAATATTTATTAAATGCATTCAATTTAATTAACGTGTTGTGGAAACCAGCTCGAAAGTATGGCGAATTCTTTGTATTATCTATAAATGATCAGTGCTTGTATGTTATTATATTTATATATTAATATATATGTAAAAGTTCACGGTTTATATACCTGTGAGTCTCCAGCTATATAGGTCAGTTTGGGGCTGAATTCCAGGTCTCATGGCTGGACTTACAAATTTCACGGTATTTCAGGAAAACGACTTTCATTGATCAAATTCGGCATCTCTGAATGCAAGGAATCAGTAAAGTTTAATGACTGCACATTTTCTATTTTTTCCCAATTCTTAAACTGATGAAAAAAGTATGGGGAACAGAGGCAGAGGTGAGACGGCTAAGAAAATAAAGAAACAAATATGTGCCAGGAATAGCATTCGATAAATCTCAGTCCGCGATTTGCAAAACACGGACTCAGTCCGCGTTTTCCCAGTTCTGTCCAGTCCAGTGCGTGTTTTACAAATTCAGTCCGCGATTTGTAAAACACGGACTTAGTCCGCGTTTTCCCTGTCCAGTCCAGTCCGTCTTTTACAACATTCCATTATTTATTCAGGAGAGTCAACATCACAAATTAATTGTGTTTCTCAGAAGATCCCCGTTGCAGGGACGAAACTTGAGGGGGGGGGGGGGGGGGGGGGGGGGGGGGGGTATGGGGGTGTGACACCCCCAAAATACGAATCATCTGGATTGGCAGGGCGAATCATCTGGATTGGCAGAGCAATCAAAGATTTTAAATAATAGAATGTAGAGTTATTAAGTAACTTACAGGGCTTTCGGCGGGATTGAATAGAATTTATATAGACCTAAATCACGTACAGATATTTCACCCATGTTTTAACAGGAATTTGTAGGGAAAACATTTTTTGACCCTTAATTTAACTGGTTTGTGTCGGTAAAAATTTTTTGACCGTTTTTCAATGTCCGGAAAAATGTTTTCAACCCCCACCCCTGCTTGCCGACATTTTTGGGAAAAATAGTGGCCTGAAATAAAAATTTGCTGCAGGGCATCATCGGTTTTGGCAGGGCAATTCTGGCAGATACACCCAAATTAAAAGGGGCTAGTTTCGCCCCTGCCCCGTTGAAAAACATTGAAGTAATATGCATGCGGGATATTCGTTTATTATACGCTCACATGTCATTGACGAATCTCAAACCAATCAAACGAAGCTAAATCCACGATCTGATCCAAAATATTAGATAAATCCCCAATCCGCTGTATTAATAAGATCCGCAAATCCGTGTAAAATATTCACCAGATCCGACTCCGAACAATTTTTTCTGTGAAATCCGACGATCCGAAAACCTATTCACCTCCGTAAACATCTTTTTCTGATGGTTTTTGTTATACTTTTCTTGTATCGACTGGTTTTGATGAAAGACAACCCATTTTATTTCGTGAAAAAATAAACAAAAATATGAACACTGAACATTTAACTGTTAAGAGGCAATTTTTTTCAATGTCACTTGACGTATTTGCAATGAAAAGTGTTCAAAACCTAAAATCTTTTTGGCGTTCCTCTGAAAATTACTTTGTTTTAACTTTATTCTCTAGTTTATAGAGTTAGTTTGCCGATTGAGAAAAGTATCGAAAAATAAAAATTTTGAATTGATTCATAACCTCAAGTGACATATTATACGCATTAGTTTTGAGCGCGTGTTACCAGGTGTTACGTAACATACAAAAAAATCTCCTCTTAAAGTGAATCCATTCAAAGGAAATCAATTACACTGAAAAATATTTGAGAAAAGAATTACAAAGACAAATTGGAAACCGAAACGGACGAAGAGCGGTTAAAGGTGTTCCGAGGGGCTAAGGATCTCGTGGAATCATTGATAGATGAAGCAAGGATTGTTCCAGAATCGGAAGAAGGTAAAAGAAAATTTAGGGAAATCATCAGAGATAACGTTCGCGTGGGATTTGAAAAATTCCGAGCCTGGGCAAACGAAAATTTAGAAATTGTTAGCTCCATCGTCATATCCATTGCGGGAATAATTACGACTGTGGTTGTGGCGGGAAAAGGAGCTGTTGCTGCGAGCTGGCAAGATTAGCGAAAAACGCCTTACCAAGCCTAGTACCGTTAATTAATATGCTAAGCACAATCCTAAGTTGGGTAGCAAAATGATTGCTTTCCTATCTCAAAATCTCTGGATTTTAGCAATAGCAATCGCAGTGTTCATATATAATCCGATACCTTCGAAACAAAAGGCAAGCAAAGTGAAAAAGCTCTGGTACACCTTCTTCTTTTGCTTTCTGATATAATTTTTCCATCGACATGGGTGATCTAAATTGTGATGTTAGTAAGTTTTCTCCTGATGCTCACACGCGTAAGACTGTAATTTCTTTCATGCGTCTACCAGCTTGAGCAGTTAATTAACGAACCCATGCACAAGGCCGGTAACGAGAACGTCAGCAACCTTGATCGATTTGATTTTTACTAATAAGAAAGAAAATATTGTAAAATCCGGAGTTCATCTTGGTATATCCGATCACAGTTTGATTTTTGCCGTTAGAAAATTTTTTACTCCAAAATCTCGACAAAATGTTAGATATGTTCGGAACTTTAAAAATTTCAATGCTACGGACTTTCTTAATGATCTATCACAGATGCCATGGGAAAATGTGGCACAATATGAAAATCCAAACTCTTGTTGGCAACTATTAAAATCTTTTTACTTGAAAATACTTGATCTACATGCACCATTTCGATGCATGAGAATCCGAGGCAACTCACTTCCTTGGATTACTCCAAATATCAAAAATTTGATGAAAACAAGAGATTTCCACAAAAAGAAAGCGGTAAAATTTGATTATCAATTACACTGGGCGAAGTATAAAGACACTCGCAATAAAGTTAACTCTGAATTGTACAAAGCTAAAAACAGGTATTTTTGCGACAAGTTTGAGGATTGTGCTCAGACTAAAGATCCTAAACAAAGTTGGCACCATATTGATCACATCTTGGGTAAGAATTTTAAATCAAACAACATTCCCCAATTAAAAATAGGCGACATTATTATTTCTGATAATTTAACGATAGGGGAGGCCTTTAATGACTTCTTCATGAGCATTGGGCAAAAACTATCCGCTGAAATTGACCATGATGCTCTGGACCTGTCAGCAAATCTCGGTGCTAGTCCAGTGACTCTATTTACTCTGTCTGAAATAAGCGAATAGGAAGTATTTCTTTTGTTATAAAGTAATCTTAAAACCTCAAAATCGACAGGCATGGATTCTATCCCCGCAAGTAGTAAAAGACCCCCTATGGAGTTCAAAGGGAAGCCGCCAATTCCACGTCCACTGCTTTGCTTGATTGTACTGATAAGTGGTATGTTAATATGGATCGTGGTTTGTATAATCTTGCCGTTTTTCTCGATTTAAAAAAGCATTTGACACGGTAAACCACGACATTTTACTGGCTAAACTAGAGTTATATGGTATTAAGAACACGCCTCTTATGCTTCTCAAATCGTACTTATCAGATCGATCTCAGAAATGTCAAGTAAATGGGGAACTTTCCACACTAAAATATCTAAAATATGGCGTTCCTCAGGGTTCAATTTTGGGTCCACTTCTGTTTTTAATATATATCAATGATTTGCCGAATTGTTTACAACACTCTACAGCACGCATGTTCGCCGACGATACTAACATTACAGTGTCCGGTAAATCAGTTAAGGAAGCGGAGGTGGCCGTTAATGTCGATCTCAATAATATCAGAGAATGGCTTCTATCGAACAGGCTCTCTCTTAACCTTGTCAAAACGGAATATCTTTTGATTGGATCACGCCACAATATTAACACGTTAGAAGAACAACCGCGTGTTTTTACTGGAGATGAACCAATTAAAGGGGTTCAAGTTACAAAAACTCTTGGAGTCAAAATTGATCAATTTTTAACTTGGGACAGTCATATTGACCAAATTTCTAAAAAAATATCTTCTGGAATAAGTGCCATGAAAAAGATAAAGGATTTCACTAATTCTGATACTTTGAAGTCGGTCTATTATGGTCTTGTCCAACCCCATTTCGACTACTGTTGTGAAGTTTGGAATTCCATTAATAGAGGCCAGTCTGAACGACTACAAAAACTTCACAACAGATGTGCTAGAATTATAATGAACTTTAAAGATGAGCCTGGGCAATCTCAACTGGCCCTCGATCAATTAGGGTGGCTAAGCTTAAAAGAAAGGCGAAAACATAATATGGCCCGTCTCATGTTTAAGGTTGTCAATAATTTGGCACCATCGAGGTTCTCATCAATGTTCCAGAATTCTAACCATATCCACAGTTATAATTTACGAGGTTCAAATTCGTCTCTCTTTCTGCCACGACCAAATACCGAGTATGGCAGAAAATGTTTTCGATATAGTGGGGTTAAAATCTGGAATAGCATTCCTGAACAAGTAAGAAACAGCGAATCTTTAAATTCTTTCAATAGAAATATTTCCTCTGTTAGTCTGACGAATTAGCTATTTGAGTTTTGTATGCCATTTGTTTTGTAATATGTATTTGTATTCGTAGTTCTTAATTTTCTTAGTGATTTTGTATTTTATATATTTTTGTGACATTTATCTACGCCCCACTTGGAAAGCAGCTATGGTTGAAGTGGCCAGCGTAGTCAAATAAAGTTTTATCCTATCCTATCCTATTTAGCAAACCTACGTACATACATATATATATATATATATATATATATATATATATATATATATATATATATATATATATATATATATATATATATATATATATATATATATATATACGGTTGTAGTATACGAAGGTGTCTAATAATTAATAAAGGTCGCGTGCAAGGTTCAAGAAAGGATATCGGATGACAATAACAAACTGGATTGCTAGACAATATACAGGACAAGAATATAGTGCATTGAGTGCAGGGAACTAGAATAGGATTAAATAAAGTGATTTGTTTATACTGCTTGCGTGTCGTGATATATTACATTGGTGCCGTGACCAGGATGACTACATCAACAGCGACAACAAGAGCAAATTTGTTATTTGTTCCTGAAACATTTTCAGACGGTGATTTTGGACTGTGGTTACGAAAGTTCGAGCTGTGTTCGACGGCAAATGGTTGGAAAGAGGATGAAATGTTGAAGCGTTTACCGACGCTATTATCGGGCAAAGCGTTTGTAGTGTTCGAGCGGCTTTGAGACGACAAGAAGGAAGATTTCAAAGTCCTTATAGCAGCGATAAAGGAAGCGTTCGGCGGCGATGAAACAAGCAAACATATTGCTATGATGGAGTTTCGTCGACGTGCGCGCAAGCCTGGAGAGGACATTCAAGTTTTCGCGTATGGGTTGGAAACATTGCTCAGCCGAGCGATCCCTAATGTCGGGAATGACGAGAGAGATACGCTTTTAAAACAACAATTTATTGAAGGATCGTCTCCTGCGCTCAAACGGGAGCTATTGCAAAGACCGAGCCTGAAATACGAGGAGACCGTCAAGATTGCACACACCCGAGCTGTCAAGTCCAAATGCTGATCATGATGTGAACCTGACGAGAGTTCAGAGAGAGAACGTATCTAGCAGCGAGTCAACAGTGGTGCGCCAGTTAAAGGAAAGCGTTGAGTCCTCACCGAAAAGGTTAAAGGGCACGAGGAGTTGGTGAAGAGAACTTGCACGTGATTGGCATGACTGATATTCATGTAAGAGTGAACGGTTTAAATGTAGTCCACACTTTTGTGGTAGTAAATATGCAGAACCAGTATACCTTCGGCGCCGATTTCTTGAAAGCGAACGGAATGGTTGTTAACATTGCACAGGAACTTTTGTCATGGGACTCGGGGGAGACGCGACTGCTTATTGAAGCAGCTGCGCCAACTATCAACAAATTATCGGTTCTGCTGGAGAAATATGCAGACGTGTTTGTAAATGGACCGGATGATCCTTTGGGATGGTCTAATGATGCTGAACATTCTATTGACACTGGGGACAGTCGACCAGTCAAACAACGACCATACAGAATACCTGTCCATTTAAACAAAGTGGTGAATAATCAAGTTAATGAAATGCTTGCTCGAGGACTCATTAGGCCGAGCGACAGCCCGTGGTCCTCTCCAATTGTAATAGCCCCCAAGAAGGACGGTGATTATCGTTTCTGTGTCAATTTTCGGCGTTTAGGATGCGTTTCCAATGCCACGAGTGGATGAGATCCTTGACAAACTCGGTGGAGCACGCTTCTTTAGCACGTTAGATTTGGCTTCAGGCTACTGGCAGATCTCTCTGAGAGAAGAGGATATTCCTAAAACCGCGTTCACAGTTAGCCCAAATCATTACGAGTTTACTGTTATGCCCTTCGGCTTCACAAACGCCCGAGCCACCTTTCAGCGAATGATGACGAAACTTCTCCATGGGATGAGCGGCTGTCTGGTATTTATCGATGACATCATTATCTTTGCTGACACCTGGGAGGAACACCAGAAGATTTTGGAAGAGGTTTTGCATCGAATCAAAGCAGCTGGTTTGAAGCTCAAGGGAACGAAATGTCAGTTCGGACGTGAATCGGTTCAGTTTTTGGGACATATTGTATCCGCAAGGGGAATCCATCCAAACCCAGAGAAAGTCCAAGCCGTACAAGATTTTCCGACACCGTCTTCGTTGTCGGATGTCAGAGCATTTGTGGGAATGGCCTCCTACTACCGCAAGTATGTCCGTAATTTTGCGGATATCGCCGCTCCTCTGCATGAACTAACCAAAGGATGCAGATTTGTTTATACTGCTTGCGTGTCGTGATATATTACACGGTCAAGATGACCGAGTCAGATAGAATACTTGAAGGAAAAAACCTGTAGAACAATTTAACAGTCTTAGTTGTAATATTTTTGGTCTATTATTTGTATTAAGAAACATGTTTTAAACTTTGCTGCGTTGTTATGTGTTGCTAAGTTATTAGGTGCCGTGCAGGTAATTAAGGGATTAGGCGAACAAAAAAATTTGCATAACTAAGTGTATCCCAATGGATAGATAGGGATATAATTACGTGTTTGGTGTAAGCATAGTTTATTTGATTTTTATGTCAAGGAACTTGTAATGATCAGCAACATATGGGGTCCATATACGAGAGAATATATTGCTGTCTAGAGTTCTATAAACACATGGAAGTTAGAGGTCATGATATATAATTGTCAAGCGATTTCTATATCTTAGGATTCTAATGGATATAAATGGATATTATTACGGGCGGTCGTTGACATGTTCAGACGAACAGTCATTATTTTCGCTGAGCTCAGCACTTTTTCGCGGTCATGAATATACATTTCTCCAGTCTGCTTACGGTTTAACAGGCGAACTTGATATCTTTTAACTGTTATTTGTATCAATAAGCATGTTTTAAACTTTGCAAATGTTGCGTTGTTATGTGTTGCGAAGTCATTAGGTGGCGTGTAGGTAATTAAGGGATTAGGCGAACAAAAAATTTGCATAACTAAATGTATCCCAATGAATAGATAGGGATTATATCCTAAGATATTGATATCCTAAGAACAATGATATCCTAAGATACAGTATGATATCCTAAGATGCTGTATGATATCCTAAGATATAACTGTATGATATCCTAAGATATTATATCCTAAGATACTGATATCCTAAGATATTGATATCCTAAGATACTGATATCCTAAGATACTGATATCCTAAGATATTGATATTCTAAGATACTGATATCCTAAGATATTGATATCCTAAGATACTGATATCCTAAGATACCGATATCCTAAGATAATGATATCTTAAGATACTGATATCCTAAGATAATTATATCCTAAGATACTGATATCCTAAGAAAATTATATCCTAAGATACTGATATCCTAAGATAATGATATCCTAAGATACTGATATCCTAAGATAATGATATCTTAAGATACTGATATCCTAAGATAATGATATCCTAAGATACTGATATCCTAAGATACTGATATCCTAAGAAAATGATATCCTAAGATATTGATATCCTAAGATACTGATATCCTAAGATAATGATATCCTAAGATATTTATATCCTAAGAAAATGTCATCCTAAGATATTGATATCCTAAGAAAATGATATCCTAAGAAAATGATATCCTAAGATACTGATATCCTAAGATAATGATATCTTAAGATACTGATATCCTAAGATAATGATATCCTAGGATACTGATATCCTAAGAAAATGATATCCTTAGATAATGATATCTTAAGGTACTGATATCCCAAGATAATGATATCTTAAGATACTGATATCCTAAGATAATGATATCCTAAGATACTGATATCCTAAGATACTGATATCCTAAGAAAATGATATCCTAAGATATTGATATCCTAAGATACTGATATCCTAAGATAATAATATCCTAAGATATTTATATCCTAAGAAAATGACATCCTAAAGCCTGGTTCACACTGGTCGCAATAGTCGGAAGAATCGTTATTTTTGAGCATCACCGATAGTACCAGTGTTTTAGCGAGAAGTGAGAACATACTCACAACGATATCCCAAACAGTCGGCAATAATATCGCGGATGTCGGGCGAATCGGAATGGTTTCTATTTTGTAGGATATCCCCGACAATCTACGACAATCCGGGATTGATTATGACACGTTTGGACAAGTGTGAACATGAAATCCGACACGTGTGATTATTGCGTAAATTCAAAATGGCGGACTACCTAGAATCACTTGCAGTTAAATCATCAAATGGTGATGATACCGCTTTCATGGAAATAGTGAGAGAGTTCCCATGTATATATAACAGAAGTAGCGCCCAATTTAAAGATAAAAATTTGAAAAGTAATGCGTGGAAACAGATTGCAACGTTGCATGAAGGGGAAGGAGTGAGTGTCGTCTGTGTCGATTCGGGCAAACAAAGATACGAAAGTATTCGCACTACTTTTTCGCGTTATCTGAAAAAGTGTAAACCACCTTCAGGGTCAGGCAGTGATATGGTAGTGCTGGAA